TGGGCTTGATCATAAGCCATGCGAGGAAACCTCTGTATTATGACCACTAGTCACAAGATTCTGTTACCTCGCTAATAACAACTCTGGGGAGATGAGTTTACTATGCTGTGCGTCCTATTTACCTCCACGTTCTGTCCAGTGCCAAACCGATTGGAGACCTGATGACAGGCAACGCGATTGAGGAAACGCACGAGGCAGTAAGATCTAGCAGTGAATGGATTTCACTTTTGAGAAGCATTGGAGCATCCCCCGCGATGATTAAGGAGCCAGGTCTTAACTGGGCACTTGGAAAATCATTGTGTTCTCTTAGGTCCCGGTTTTCGTTTTTCATTGAAAGTTGCCAGGCAAAGCATTTTGGGTTATTCTATGCTGCTCTTCGATGGGAAAGCTAAAAGACATAAAAGGGGCGGGGCGGGGGGCGGGGGGGGGGGCAGGAGACCTAAAGGGGGGGGGGGCGTAGGAGGGCCTGAAAGAAAAAGTTCTGCCTGCAGGTGTCTAAATGTGGGCTTCCAGAGGAATAATTGCCGGTAAACTGCACGACCTCGAACAGCTATATGTGCAGAAGAAATGGGTTTTGATTAGTCTTTTAAGTGGGTTAATAGTTTCTCCTAAACAAGTAGTTAAAAAATAGGACATGCAGAGCAATGCCCTCGTTAATAATATTTCATTTAAAAATAAGATGCATGTTATCAATATGATAAACCCAGTATAAATCCATATAAAAAAGGAGTAGTTCTAAAACTATGATCACAAATCTCTAAGGGGGCTGGGAGCTTCTCAGAGAAGTCCATGCCTCTAATACTCTTGCATCATAGCCCCTGATGCAGCCCTTCCTTCCTTCCTTCCTTCCTTCCTTCCTTCCTTCCTTCCTTAGCAGACATTTGTTGGATGCCAACAATGTGCAAAGCACGGTGCAAGGAATCCCGTGGTGAACAAGGCACTACCCTTATCCTTAAGCATTCCACATCCTTGGGGTGGAAGGAAACAAGAAAACAAGCAATCAGAAGAACATGACGTGGTAAGTCGCCGAGGACTGGGGTGAGGGTGGTCCGGCTTGGAAGCATGAAAGGCATTTTGTTACGGCTGGAGGTTAGAATGAAGGAACAAAGGCTCCCGATTAAGACTCTAGGAGGCCTTACTAAGGACTTGGACTTCTTTTTTAATGTAATTCGGGGTAATTGAAGGATATTAAACTGGGAGTGACATACTCACATTTGCACATTAGAAGACATCCGTGGCAGGAATGTGGGGATTCGGGATGAAGGTAGGAGGCCAGGAGAGAACCAGGATCTGGTTATGGTCCAGGTGTGTGTGCAAGAGGCAACTCTGGCAGTAAGAAGAGGGAGGATCACAAATACCCAGGAGGGAGACTTGCTCAGGCGGGAGAGAGCCAGAATGCAGGATAAAAACCTAATGTCCATGTTTGTGGTTTGGGCAACGAACTGATGACAAAGGGATTCAAGCAGACAGCAAGTTTTGGAGGAAATGTCAACTTCTGGGACAAGTTGAGTTTGAGTTGTGTCTGCCACATGCCGATAGAGCTGTCCACGTAAAGGGTGCTGACCACAGTGCCCGGCTCACGGCAAGTGCTCAGTGCATTTCGTGGCCCTTCAGTGGACAAAGATTTAATGCGAGGTGCTATTCACTTTCGAGGAAACACCCAAAAGTCACCACCTCAAGGCCCAAGGGCACCCAGAGAGCTCTATTAGATGAAGGCAAGCCTCTTGCCTGGCCCTCGAAGAACTTCAAGAAATGCCACCAGTCCCTGCCGATTGGGAATAAACTCCACCGACGCCGCAGCTCATGCCTGGAGTACGTTCTCTACGAAAACCAAATGAAGGTTCTAAATGGAAATGTCATAGATTGTTCTAAAACAACCTATGAAAGTTCTAAAAAAATGTTTTAAAAACATTTGAATAAGTTTTATATCCAAGAATTGAAGAAATGAGAAGCAGCACAGAATATAATCCCATGTCCATGTGTACAGGGTGAAGTACAACTACTTTTTTTCCCTCCCAAGTCCCTATGTCCAGGGGCAGGGATAAGGCAGGATGAGGTGGGGAGGCATATAGCCTAAGAGCATTAGCGACCCAGGGTCAGGAGGTTTCCGAGGGGGGAGGGCACATTCCTCGGGTGGCAGGTGGCAGAAAACTTGCTGGAAGCAAGGCCTGGACACACAGCTGCAGCCTGCCAGGTGTTGAGTTTGAGTTCTTGTCCTAAGTTTAGGGTTATTGGTTTTATTTATTTATTTGTTTGTTTGTTTTTTATTTTCTTGTTTAAAGTATTATAAATAGTAGTACATATGTCTCTTTTTTTCCCCCCATTGACCTTCCCCCTGCCTCCTCTACCTCCCGGGCACATGCCCTCACCCCACCCACCTAGTGTCTTGTGTCCATTGGTTATGCTTACATGCATGCATACAAGTCCTTCGGTTGGTCTCTTACCTCCCCGCCCCGCCAACACTTGCCAGCCTTAGCCCTGTAATTTGACAGTCTGTTCGATGCTTCTTTGCCTCTGAATCTATCTTTTTCTTCATCAGGTTATAATGTTCTTTATTATCCATAAATGAGTGAGATTATGTCGTATTTTTCTTTCATTGACTGGCTTATTTCACTTAGCATAATGCTTTCCAGTTCCATACATGCTGCTGCAAATGGTAAGAATTCCTTCTTTTTTACTGCAGCATAGTATTCCATTGTGTAGATGTACCACAGTTTTTTAATCCACTCATCTGCTGATGGGCACTCAGGCTATTTCCAAATCTTAGCCATGGTGAATTGTGCTGCTATGGGAATACTCCGGCCTCTCTCCCCTTCTCCTCTCTCACCTGTGCCTCCCACTGGCCCAGCCACCTGGAGCCAGAGGGCCAGGAGGCCAGTGATGTTCCCTGGATGCTCTGCTCCAGGGCATGGAGCAGGGACAAAAATGGTGGCGGTGGTTCTCAGGGGACCTTAAATGGAGGATAAGTCTGTATGGGGGAGGCATGGGAGACGCTGTGGCCTTGGCCCTTTAAATCAATGGTTCTCACATGAGGGGCGATGCTTTCTCCCAGGGGACACCCGGCAGACATTTTGGTTGTCACAGCTGGGGGGGGTGGGTGCTATTGGCATCTAGAGGTTAGATCTGCTAAACATCCTTTAGTGCACAGGACAGCCCCATGACAAAGAATCCTCCTGCCCGGGTATCAGCAGTGCCGCGTGGAGCAACCCGGGTCTAAACCCGTGCAAAACGCTGTGACACACCACCCTGCCCGCTCTGTGTGACTGTGAGCACCGCAGGGGAGAGTGGGTGTGAGGCCAGAGCTGTGTCTGCAGACTTCCTTTAAGAAGGACTTGTCCATCTGGATGGAACTCTGCGGTCCCCGCTCCAGTGAGTGAAATCCCCTCCCAGATAATCAGATCATGTCTGTCCTGGGAGACGGGAAAGACCGCCTTTGGCAGGAACTGCCACCCAAGTTATAACTGCAAGGGAACAAGACCACCTTTTTATTTTTTAAAATATATTTTATTGATTTTTTACAGAGAGGAAGGGAGAGGGATAGAGAGTTAGAAACATTGATGAGAGAGAAACATCGATCAGCTTCCTCCTGCACACCCCTTATTGGGGACGTGCCTGCAACCAAGGTACATGCCCTTGACTGGAATCGAACCTGGGACCCTTCTGTCCGCAGGCCGATGCTCTTGATGAGAGAGAAACATCGATCAGCTTCCTCCTGCACACCCCTTATTGGGGACGTGCCTGCAACCAAGGTACATGCCCTTGACTGGAATCGAACCTGGGACCCTTCTGTCCGCAGGCCGACGCTCTATCCACTGAGCCAAACCGGTTAGGGCCAAGACCACCTTTTTAAAAAACAACTTCTTTATGCTACTCATTTTTTAAAAGTTGTTTGTTGATTTTAGAGAGAGAGAGGAAGGGAGAAGGAGACAGAGAGAGAAACATCGATTGGCTGCCTCCTGCACACACCCTGACTGGGAATTGAACCAGTGAGCTTTTGGTGCCTGGGACGATGCCCAAGCAACTGAGCCACACTGATCAGGGCTAAACAAATGTTTATGTTATGTTAGGTGGTAAAATACACACAACATGAAAACTACCATTGCTAACCATTTAAAAATGTACAGTTCGGTAGCGACCGCGCGCCCCCTCCCCAGTCCTCCCCGCCCTCTCGACCCCCCAGGGCCTGCCGCTGGCTGGAGGAGAAGTCGTCCATCAGCAGACCCCGGCCGCTGATGGGTTTGGACCTGGGATGTCGCTGGGGCAGCCCCTCTCCACTGCTCCGCGGTGCCTGCTCGGCCACTGCTCGCTGCGCTCCTCCCATGCCCCTCCTCCGACTCCGGGTCACCTGCGCCTCACTTCATCCCAGTCCCAGGCGAGCAGCGTTGGGTTTATGTCTTTATTCGACGAAAGCAAGCTGTTGCGCAGCCATTGGTACCTGTATTGGGGGAATATAGCATACAAGCAAGGAGCTTACAGCCTCAGTGGCGAAAACTTTTTCATGTCAGAGACCGAGAAGTCTTGCAGTCGTTTATGTCATCCCTTCTTCTCCAGACAGAAGATACCAAAAAGTTGCAATCAAAGATCTCTTCATCTTATTGATAAAGCCACCAATAAGCCACAATGTCTGTCAACATCAACCGCAGCGTATCAGGGCAGTTCTATCGCTACAACGTGCCCCGCCTGATGGCCAAGACTGAGGGCAAAGGCAATGTAATCAAGACAGTTATGGTCAACATGGTTGATGTTGCAAAGGCGCTTAACCGGCCTCCAACATATCCCACCAAATATTTTGGTTGTGAGCTGGGAGCACAGACCCAGTTTGATGTTAAGAATGACCGTTACATTGTCAATGGATCTCATGAGGCGAATAAGCTGCAAGACATGTTGGATGGATTCATTAAAAAATTTGTTCTTTGTCCTGAGTGGGAGAATCCTGAGACAGAGCTGCATGTCAAACCAAAGAATCAAACAATAGCCAATTGTAAAGCCTGTGGTTATCGAGGCATGCTTGACACACATCATAAACTCCACACACTCATTCTCAAAAACCCACCTGAGAATAGTGACTAATACAGGAAAGAAATAAAAATAAAAATAGGAAGGGCAAAGATAAGGAAAACGGCTCTGTGCCCAGCAGAGACACCACCACCACCACCACCACCACCATCAAATGAAATCAGTCTTCCTCCACATGCTGTGGAAGAAGAAGAGGATGATGACTGGGGGGAGGATACCACTGAGGAAGCTCAGAGGCACAGAATGGATGAAATCAGTGGCCATGCAAAAGTTCTAACGCGCCCTAACTGGTTTGGCTCAGTGGATAGAGCGTCGGCCTGCGGACTGAAGGGTCCCAGGTTCAATTCTGGTCAAGGGCATGTACCTTGGTTGCGGGCATATCCCCAGTAGGGGGTGTGCAGGAGGCAGCTGATAGATGTTTCTAACTCTCTATCCTTCTCCCTTCCTCTCTGTAAAAAATCAATAAAAAATATTTTTAAAAATGTTTTAAAAATCAATAAAATATATTTTTTAAAAAAGTTCTAACAGTGATGATTTGGAAAGAACTGTCGAAGAACGGGCCAATATCCTGTTTGATTTTGTTAAGAAAAGGGAAGAAGAGGGTATTATCGACCCATCGGACAAATAAATGGTTGCTGAAGCAGAAATATTGGATGTAAAAGCTATGGGACCTCTTCTTTTGACTGAAGTTCTTTGTAATGAGAAGATTAGAGAACAGATTAAAAAATACAGGCGCCATTCCCTACTATTTTGTCACAACAATAGAAAAGCTCAACCTTCTTCGTGGTTCGGAGTGTGTGGCAGCAGTGCATCAAGCTCAGCTCATCTCCAAGATTCCACATGTCTTGAAGGAAATGTATGACGCAGACCTTTTGGAGGGAGAGGTCATCATCAGCTGGGCAGAAAAGGCCTCAAAGAAATATGTTTCAAAAGAACTTGCCAAAGAGATTCGTGTCAAAGCAGAACCATTTGTGAAGTGGTTGAAGGAAGCAGAGGAGAGAA